GGTCGGTGCTCCGGGGCGGGACGCGCCCCCTCTCGATGCGCAGCCCCTTCTCTCTGCGCCCCAGCCCGAGTCCTCGAGGAGAGCGGGACCCCCGCCATCCTGCTGGGACCCCGGGGGTCCAGGCCGTCCTCAGGTGCCCGCAGTTCTAGCGTTTCCCAGCGCGCGGGGCGGGCAGTGATTTCCGCCCTGGAACCCCTGCCTTGCCCAGGGGTCCTAGAGTCCATAGGTGGGGAGGACAGGAGAGGACACTCACAGGACCTGGGAGAAGTCCCTCTTGTCCCCAGTTACCCCCCTTGGAAGTTGGCAGAAGAGCTACCCTTTTGTCTGGAGTTTGGAACAGGTGCCTTCACTTGGTCACACGCCAGGCAGCAGCAACAGGTGAGGGGGTACCACCCTTATCTCCCTCTCACAGGTGAAGAAGCGGAGATTCAAAGAGGCCAAGCCACTTGCCTGGGGTCTCAAAGGAGGCAGAGCCAGGACTTACACCCAGGTTGGTGTGAACCCCTAAGTCCGTGTATTTCTCGGCCCTGCCCTGACCCCCACCTGGGCTGCAGGGAGAGAAGTGGAGGGGAGAGGCAGTGCGGGGTGGGGTGGGGGTGGGGGCCGGTAATCCCAGGAGGCGGCGGAAATGAGCCAGCCAGCCTGTCCCTGCAGGAAGAACCCCCAGAGCAGCACATGCTTCGCCTGGGTGAGGGGTTTGAGAAGTGAGCATGGTGGTTGGCGCCAGGTTAACTCCAGGAGTGGTGGGAAGCAGGGCAGCGCCCTCCAGGAGCTCCCAGGCCTTTACTCAGCACCTCCTTGGGGCACAGGGGGCTCTTGTGGACTTAGCCAGGGGACCTCACCTCTCCATGCCTCAGTTTCCTTCTGGGTCCCCTGGGGTGTGCATGGGGCCTGCCTCACAGGATGGCTGAGAAGATTAAATGAGATGATTGGTGTGAAGGCTTAGCCTAGTGCCTGGACCAAGCTGTAACCCCCTCCATCCCCATCGCGGTCTGTCTGAGAGCACATCTTTAACCTGGGGTCAGTCAGCTATCTGAGATCTGCAGGGTTTCCGGACAACCCCGCCAGCAGCTGAAACTTCTTGAGTAAGACCAAGGCTGGGGTAGCAACTTCTCCCTGCTCTGACCCTTCGGAGGGAAGGCTGGTAGGAGCAGGCGTTTGAAAATCTTTAGGCTGCCGCTTACACAATTCCAGAACTGCTCTGCATTCCCCAAGCCCTCCCCCACCACTGGTTGAGCAAGAAGGAGGAAGCCCAGAGTTTTCTTGCTCCCATACCTGCTCTTCTCCTCGTCCTGACATCTAGGCCCACAGCAGATCCGATCCCTCGGCACGTTCTGTATTTGACCATTCCCACCCCCAGGTCCTCAGCATCGATCCCGCCTGCTTGAGTCTTGATTCTCCTCTCACTCCGCTGCCCATTGTAGCCACACTTCTCTCCTCGGAGATGCTGAGTTCTCTGCTCTCTCAGGGCCTTTGCCCGTGCTCCTCCTCCTCCTGGAAATGTTCTTCCCTGCCATCTTCTTGTGACTGGTCGTCTTGCAATTCAGGGACCATCATAAAAGACTCAGAAGTCTGCCCCGATCACCCACCCCACTGCAGGGGCCACGCTCGCCTGCTCTCGGATGCATTACTGTTTCTCCTTCCAGTGCTCAGCCCTGGATGATGTTACCTTGCTTATGCGTTTCCTTGGTTCCTCAGTTGTCTCCCCAGCTCAAATGCCAGCCTTCCTGGGCCCTGACCTTTTTCTTGCCTCGTCACTTTGGATTCTTCAGAACCCAGCACTGTACCTGGCACATAGTTCTGATCATTATGTGCAATTGCAAGCAGTGTGTGCAACCATGCAGAGTTCTCCTCATTGCTTAACAGCAATCTTTCTACATTTCTACACAGACCTCATCATTGCCATTGCTCCTAACTGCCCACTGCCTTCCTGAGCTTTTCCCTAACGTGGGGTCTATGCGCTGTTTCCAGGTTCTAGCCGTAATACCAACTTCACTTTCAACTTTTTGTCCAAATTGCACGTGTTTTGATTTTGTTTTTTTTGTTTTTTTATATCAAGGGATTTCTTTGAGAGATAGTTCCCAAACTGGTCAAGTCAAGGATATGATCATTCTGAAGGCACATGCCACTTACCACCTGATGGCAGTTTAAAAAAGTTATCCCCAGCAATATGTGCAAGTTTTTCTACAGTCCTATGAGCATTGGGTGTTCTCATTTTTATTTGTTTTGTCTATTTTAATGGGGAGGTCATGGTAGGTTTAAATTTTCTGTTGCTTGGCCCTAACCAGTTTTGCTCAATGGATAGAACGTTGGCCTGTGGACTGAAGCATCCAGGTTTGATTCTGGTCAAGGGCATGTTCCTTGGTTGCGGGCACATTCCCCAGTAGGGAGTATGTAGGAGGAACTGATCCATGTTTCTCTCTCATCAATGTTTCTAACTCTCTGTCCCTCTCCCTTCCTCTCTGTAAAAAATCAGTAAAATATATTTTTAAAAAAGTAAAAGCTTTGGGAATGATGAAAATAGGCTTAATTACATTTTCTGTTGCTTGAATTATTAAAGCTGGATTCTTTTCAACGGATGTGCTAGTTCTATTTCCTGCCTTGTGAAGGGAGGAAATCTGCAGGGCACCTTCCTTCTTCCCTTCACCTTCACTTGTGGTAATGGTTCCACTTGAACCCATCTCATGAGAGTAGAGGGAGGGCCCCAGGGGCTGGAACAGGAACCCATGGAGTCAGACTGTGCTGGTTGCAGAAACTGCTCTGCCGATCAAGCAGCAAAAACGCCTCTAAGTGCCCCTTAGCATGGTACTGTGGGGAGAGAAAGAAACCCCTTATTTTTTTAAGTCTTTGTGAATTTTTTTTCAAGTTGGTATTTTTTTAAATGATAAAAGTAGCACACGGGGTGCAGGGTTATTCACTGGAACACGGGGCAGCAAAAGATTGGGAAACAACCTACGTGCTGAACAAATGTTCACAATTTGGTGGCTGAAAAAAACATAAATATATTATCTTAGAGTTCTGGGGGTCAGTGTCCAAAATCAGTCTCAGTTGGCCAAGATCAAGGTGTTGGCAGGGCTGTGTTCCTTCTGGGGGTCTAGGGGAGAATCTGTATCCTTGCCTCTACCAGCTGCCAGCATTCCTTGGATCATGACCCCTTCCCTCCATCTACAAAGGCAGCAGCATAAAATCCTCAAATCTCTCTCTGACTCCAACCTAACCCTCCGTGGTCACATCTCCTTCTATGTCTGATTCTCGTTACATTGGGCCCACTGGGGCTCTCGGGATCCTTTACGTAATCCCATCTGCAAAGTCCCTTTTGCCAGGTAACGTGACATGTTTACAGGTCCTGAGGAATGGGGTTAGGATGTGTGCATCCTCAGGGGGCCAATATTCAGCCCGCCACACCCTAAAGGGAAATGAGCAAGGTTCAGAGCTGAGTGTGGGGCTCACGATTGTTTAAGGAAAAAAAAGAAAGAGAAAAGGAATAAGTATACATGTGCTTGCAAAGGCAACATAGGAAAGTGGTAAGAGTGGCTGCTTCTGAGAAGATTGGGTAGAAAGGAAACTTGTCATAGCATATCTTTTTGTGTTATTTAAACTTTTTACTACATGCATATGTCACTATGTTACAAATAGTAGCACATAGTAGCACATAGTCATTGTGCTACTATGCACAATGAAGTAGCACATAGTCATTGTAAAAGTTGAGGCTGTCCGAAAGCTGAGAGAAGGAAAGTACCCCCTCATCATTCCCTTTCTCTCCAGCAGTAACCACTGTGAGGAATTTGGCTCTATCCTTGCAAACTTGTGAAAAATGCACATGAATGTTTTCACATCGATGGGATCAGACGCTACACACTGTGATATAATGTGATGGGGGCACTATATTTTTCACATCTTTCCTCATCCATGTATGAAGGTTTAGCAGCACTGGGGTCTCCCGCTGCTCAGATGTACCTTAACCGACTTCACCAGACCCCTTCCCTTGTTGGTGGACATTTAGATTCTTTGCTGCTGTCCACAGTAATCTCAACACTGTAATCTACGTGTCTGGGTTTTTTGTAATTGAAGTGAAATTCACATAACACGAAATTAAGCACTATACAGTGAAAAATTCAGTGGCATTTAGTGCATCGACAGTGTTGTATAACCACCACTTCTATCTAGTTCCAGAACATTTTCATCATCCCCAAAGGAAACCCCATCCCCATTAAGCTCTCACTTCCCATTTCCCTCACCACCCCACCACCCCCCAATCCCTGGCAACCACTAATCTGCTTTCTATGTCTACAGATTTGCATATTCTGGATATTGCATATCAAGGGAATCATTGTCATGTGATGTTTTGTGTCTGGCATAATGTTTTAGAGATTTGTAGATATAGCATGTGTCAGTACTTTTTAAAAATATATATATTTTTTATTGATTTCAGAGAGGAAGGGAGGAGGAGAGAGAGAAACATCAATGATGAGAATCATTGATCAGCTACCTCCTGCACGCCCCCTACTGGGCATCGAGCCTGTAACCCAGGCATGTGGCCTGACCAGGAATCAAACCATGACCTGGTTCATAGGTCATGCTCAACAACTAAGCCACACTGGCCAGACTGTACTTCCTTTTTTAAACTAATTTTTTATTGTGGTCTAATTGACATACAAAATTCTATTAGTTTCAGATGTATAACGATGATTTGATATTTATATATATTACAAAAGTATTTCGTTTCTTTTTATGGCTGGATGACATTCCATTGTATGGACATAACATCTTTTATTATCCATTTATATGTTAATGGACACTTGGGTTGTTTCCACCTTTTGGCTATGAATATTTGTGTATATGTATTTGACTGGGTGCCTGTATCAATTCTTTTAGGTACGTACCCAGGATGTACGTCCTTCTATACACACTTCGAACTTTATTATTTACAACTTTCAGATACTTAATCAAGTTTTTAAAATATTTGTAAGAAAGTGCTGCATCCTAAGACATATGATGGCAAGAGGACAGATCTGGACAAATGTTTTCTTCTTTTCCAGATCCAGAGAGGACAGAAAAATGTCTGCCCGGGACGAAAAGGTAAGTTGCGTCTGGGACCTCCCAGCCTTGAGATCATTGTTTGGTGTTTCCAACAGGAATGAGGAAAACCGCCTATAACAATAACTGAGTTCTAGTTACTGATATTAATCAGAGAAAGGCAAATGGAAACAGTTCGTATTTCCTTCATTTGTAGTTCCTTATTAAATTAGGCAAACAGAAAAGCAAGTGGAAATGCTCAATGCTGGTTATGCAATCGCCTCATTCCTACATCCACACAGCTATTCTTTTTTTTTTCAAATATATTTTTATTGATTTCAGACAGGAGGGGGGGGGCGGAGAGAGAGAGAGAGAGAGAGAGAGAGAGAGAGAGAAAGAAGAAGAAGAAGAAGAAGGAGGAGGAGGAGGAGGAAGAGGAAGAGGAAGGAGGGGGAAGAGGAAGAGGAAGAGGAAGAGGAGAGAGAAAAACAATGATGAGAGAGAATCAAACCTGGGACCCTTCAGTCCGTATGCCAATGCTCTATCCACTGAGTCAAACCACCTAGGGCCACACAGCTATTCTGGGGGAAAAATGATGGTGTGTATCAGGAATCATGAAAATATCTAGGATCAAACCTGCTCATCTCACTTATGGGAAAGGAAATGACCCATAAAAAGGAAAAAGTACAATTTATGGCACCATATTTCTTAGCACATCAGACACCGTTCATTGTAGACCCACCATTACATTAGGTACTATGAAGAAGAAACAGTGCCGACACTTACTGTGATGTAGTGGGACACAGTGCTGAAATTGGTCAATTGTAAAACACATTCAGGTTTCAGAAATGCTAAAATGTGAGAAAATGTGGTTTTAGCATTGGTGATAAAAATGCTAAAAATGAGGAATAATCAGAAAACGCAGCCGAAACCGGTTTGGCTCAGTGGATAGAGCGTCGGCCTGCGGACTGAAAAGTCCCAGGTTCGATTCCGGTCAAGGGCATGTACCTTGGTTGCGGGCACATCCCCAGTGGGGAGTGTGCAGGAGGCAGCTGATCGATGTTTCTCTCTCATCGATGTTTCTAGCTCTCTGTCTCTCTCCCTTCCTCTCTGTAAAAAATCAATAAAATATATTTAAAAAAAAAAAAAAGAAAGAAAACGCAATCGTGAGAGCTGTTTTTCTGTGGTAGGTTTCTGTGCCATTAAAAAGGTATAAATAGCCCTAGCCAGTTTGGCTCAGTGGATAGAGTGCCAGCCTGTGGACTGAAGGCTCCCAGGTTCAATTCTGGTCAAGGGCACATGTCCGGGTTGTGGGCTCGATTCTCAGTAGGAAGTGTGTAGAAGGCAGCCAATCAATGATTCTCTCTCATCATTGATGTTTCTATCTCTCTCTCCCTCTCCCTTCCTCTCTGAAATCAATAAAAATATATATATATATACATATATATATTTAAAAGATATATATATATACACATATATATATAACAAAATATATAACAACAAAAATTATAAATAAGTCTGATGCATATAATTAGTGGGAGGGGAGAATACAACATTATCTGTTGTCCTTTATTATAATTGTAAAAGACATAGATTAGGGGCAGAGATAGGTAGATAGAATTGGTAGATGGTAAATTTGGTGTGTTGGGATTATTGTGAATTTATTTCCTTTTGCTCATGTTTCCATGGTATTAACACTGAAAGAAATTGATCTAGGGCAGTGGTTCTCAACCATCCTAATGTCGCGACCCTTTAATACAGCTCCTCATGTTGTGGTGACCCCCAATTTCATTGTTACAAATTGAACATAATTAAAGCATAGTGATTAATCACAAAAACAATATGTAATTATATATGTGTTTTCTGATGGCCTTAGGCGACCCCTGTGAAGGGGTCGGGACCCACAGGTTGAGAACTGCTGATCTAAGGGCACAGTCTGCTCATTGGGGGGAATGACAACAGGTGAAAGCTGGGGGTGGGAGTCAAGGTGAGTTGGGCCTGAATGAAGCTAGGAAGTTTCCAGGACATGTCACAGGGTGAGGTGGGTGTTTGGCCACAGACACAGCAGGGGAGGCAGAGGGAGGGAATGCAGAACCAAGGACACACCTGGGGGCCTCGGGGGTCAGCAGCTTGTGTGTCATCACACGGGCCATTTGTGAGCCTGGCCTTGCGGCATGGTGAGGGGCTGGAAAGGTTGGGCCAGGGCCACTTATAGCAAATAAGCCTCTTAACTGATTCAAAGAACAGTTCCTTTCAGTATCTTCTGGAGTTAATTGTGTTTTTTAAAACCTTTTAATAGGATTGCTTTTAGGAGCTCTGTAATTTTTTCAGTTCTCCTTGTTTTTGAGAGGAAAACTGTGTTGTAGGAGAGACTGGTGGGGTTTTTAGCCATGACTCAGACCTGGTTTGCTGTAGCCAGCTCTGTTGAGAGGGGCTCAGAGTCCCTCTCTGCCCTTCCCATCTCTCCAAGCCTCAGTTTTCCTGTTCTGTAAAGTGGGAACAATAACTCCCTGCTAGACCTGTGGTGAGAATGAAATAAGATTGTGCATGGAAAGCACTTGGCAGGGTGCCCAACTATAATGAACACTTAAACTCGGGAGGCGGGGGGACGAGGGGGTGGGGGGAGCAGGGGGGGAAGCTGGGGACTTGATCACGAGTGTCAGCTGGGTTTGCAGCCCATCAGCGGACCTATCCTCATCTCAGATGATTGTGTGTCACCTCCCACCTCTTGGGAACCTGGGAACCAGGGGTGCTTAGAAAGCCTTGTAGCCCTTTGGCTCATTTCTCACGAGGCTTTTGGAGGCTCTGGGTTCATTTGTGGTGCTAGTTGTCTGCCTGGGCTGCGCACAGGAGATCTCAACCCCTAGGCCATCCCCAGACCGACTGAATCACAATCTTGTTGTGCGGGGCCCAGGCATCGGAGTTCTTTAAAGCTTCTATGTTTCCAGTGCAGCCAGGACTGAGAGCCACAGGTTAGACTGTGAGGCAGGGAAGATGGGTGCCCTGAACTCTGTCCTGGCCAAAGCACTGCTAACATGTTGGGGGATAGAGTCACCCCGATGACTCATTCGCACTCCCGATAAGTCTTCATTTCTATCTGGATCACTGCATATTTTTTCTTTCTGTGCTTTTCGTTTTCTTTCTATACTTTTGGAAACAAAAGGAGGAGCTCTGGGCCAGACAGCCTGGCTCAGAAAACAAGGTCTGTTTCTCACCAGCTGTGTGACCCTAGGGCAGGGGTCCTCAAACTTTTTAAACAGGGGGCCAGTTCACTGTCCCTCAGATCGTTGGAGGGCCGGACTATAGTTTTAAAAAAAACTGTGAACAAATTCCTATGCACACTGCACATATCTTATTTTGAAATAAACAAAACAGGAACAAATACAATATTTGTATTTGCATGTGGCCCGTGGGCTGTAGTTTGAGGACCCCTGCCCTAGGGCATGTTGCTTGGCCTCTCTGCTCCCCGTTTCCCTGTCTGTAAATGGAGGTTCACGCCCCCACTTCATGGAGCGTTTGCCGTGTGTTATAAAGGGCTTTGCACGGAACTCAGAAATGGCAGGTACTCTAGTTGTAATCACTACGATTTCCACTGCTGTAGGTCTTATCACCAGCCTCGCGATCATCAGACGCTTATCAAGAAAGGAGGGATCCTGACCCCAGTGGAAAAGGAGAGAAATGGTGCAGCGCTAGGCTCGGAGGGGGTGTGGCGGGGAGGCACCTGGGCTGCCAGGGGCCCCTCCCCCAAAGCTGGTCAGCCGTCACAGGTGGTGGTTTCCGTGAACCTCAAACTTCCTCCCCACCCTAGAGAAGGAAAAACTGTTACGCTTATTTAAAGACTTCCCTGATTTTAAAAATAGGCATCCCTCAGAACACAGATGCCCAGAGGCTGGGAGGGGCGGGTGAGGGCCCAGGGGTGGTGAGCATGCTGCTGGGACCCTCCAGGTAGTTGTAGTGGGAACCTACAGTCCTCTAGCCACAGAGGATCATCCCTGAGCAGGAACCCACCTGGCCTCTGCCCTGAGGCGGATGACAGACTCCAAAAGTCACAGAAACTGCTGGACCTGCCTCCACAGGGGAGGAGAGAGGGACCCTTTGTGAGTGCCATGGGGGTGGTAGCTGGTCTGGAGCTGGGATGCTTGAGAGAGACCTCCCGAAGGGGGTTATTCTTTTGTTGTTGTTGTTAATCCTCACCTGAGGATATTTTTCCATTGATTGTTAGAGAGTGAAAAGGAGGAGGAGAGACAGAGAAAGAGAGAAACATCGATGTGAGAGACATCGATTGGTTGCTTCCCGCATGGTCAGGGATGGAACCTGCAACTGAGGTTGATGCCCTTGACTGGAATCGAACGTGGACCCTGCAGTCCATGGGACGATGTTCTATCCACTGAGCCAAACTGGCTAGGGCCTGAAGGGGGTTAAAGAAGACACATGACACAGTGGAAGAGGGGCTGGAGTTTTAGGCAAGGGAAAATTGTGAAGGCCCTGTGGTTGAAGGAACGTGTTGCTGAGTACATTGTGGCCCAGCAGAGAGGGTGGTGAAAGTGAGGTCAGATAGGCAGGCGGAGGCCACAGCATGCAGAATAGGCCTGGGCCTCTGGAAGGCACTTGGTCTGTATTTTTAAGAGCAGTGGGAAGCCCGAGAAGTGTTTTAAATAAGGGAGTGTGTCAGAGGTCCCCGACATCACCCAGGCTCCGCGTTTTGCTAGGAGAGCTCAGAGAACTCAGCCTACAGCTTGACTGATGGCTATGACTTGTTACAGCAAAAGGACACACATTAAAATCAGCAAAGGGCAAAGGCACCCGGGGTGAAGCCCAGAAGAAACCAGACTCCAGCTGGAGTCACACAGGACATGCCCGACACCTCCAGCCACGAGTTGTGACTCCGCATGCGCGATGTTGCCCACCAGGAAAGCTCGATAGAGACTCAAGGTTTTCACTGGGGGCTGCTCACATAGGCACTCTGTCCAGCCCTTACAAAAATGGCGGACTCTGAGAAGGCAAGCAGGTGTGCAACATAAACTACGTTGTTTACACAAAGTGTGGGAGCACTGAGCGGTTCC